AACATGCTAATATACATTGAAAATTCTTGAGTCTACCATATCTTTTTTAATTTCAGTTTTAAATACTGATAAAAGCATTTATGAATTATCAGTTAATGAGTTTTTATTTTTAAGAGTATACCTTACTTACCAAAAACCCTCTCTCCTCTATATGATGTTCTGCATGAAGCTGAACTTTCATCATTACAGTTCCTTGTATGAGTGACCTGCATGGAACCTGAAAGTAATGTTCTTAAGTCTTTCTAGAGAGTGGTAATAAAAGATTTAACTCGTACTAAAAACATGCATTTATTAAACACTAATGCATGTAAGCCATATGAAACTAAACGAAACAAATGTAACCAAAATCAGTTCATTATATGGAAAGGTTACAAATCTATTTTTTAATGAAATGATGGATGTGTCAAAGAAAAAAGCTATTCAGGTTAAAGACTGTGTATTACTGAAAAATATATGCAGTACATTTTATAACTTTAAAAAAAACTTTGTTTTGCTTCATATTTGGACAAATATTTATCAAAACTAGCTGAGGGTATCCATTAAGGAAGCAAATATTGTATAGAAAACAATGTTAAATAATGTTCCCCTCCCTTCTGTCTTTTTTTTAATTAAATCTCTAATGATCTCATTAGATGCTAACTGCATACCCTGTTTTATGAGATGTAATAATTGATTCATTTATCTGATTAAGTATACATGTCTTTAACTTTAAAGCCAAAAGTGTTTATAAAAATTAGAAATATGCCCTATTTCAGGATTTTTTTTATCTCCTTCTCAAGCAAAAATCCAAAAACAAAGTAGCTCATGTACATCATTGGACAATTTCCAGTTACCATACCACAACTCAAAGTAAGTGAGCCAGCTAACTGGGTGATGGATGCTAACACACACATTCACATAATGGATCATTTTTATACTAAGATGTACTCTTAATTGCTCCATATCCAATCATAAGCCGAGAAACAATAAAAATCACTTTTGTTTGGCAGTTCACAATTACAGTTTTTTAGTTGCTTTTTATGCTCATACCCATGATTCACAATCAATATACTGTTACACCTTTAATGAACCTTAAAAAAAACACTTTTCACCACTACAACAGCATTATTTCAAGCTCACGAATAAGAATTTTCTTTTATTTGGGATGTCTATTCATCAAGAGCTCTTGCTAGTATTTTGAAATATTCATTTTTGATCATTTGTCTTCTAGCACAGTTTTCTATGCTAAAGTTTGAATGTTCCTTTCTGCACATACTCAGCTTCCTTGTAGTACTGCTTAAGGAAATGAAGAAACACCGGCAGTATAATATACATTAAAATGATAAAATATGAAAACATATGCTGGAGATTGTAACACACTGATAGAAAATTAACAAATCGAAACATTAGCAAAAGCTTATGATTAACATTTTAAAATATCAGTAAAAGCTTATGATTAACATTTCAAAACATTTGCAAGAGCTTATGATGAATTGCCACTCCAAATAATCAGTTTTATCAGTTGAAACCCAATTTGTTTAGGGACTAATATTTGTGGATGTTTAACAAACAAAAAAATCTCATGAACTGGCTGGATGCGAGATGACATCACATCTGCAAACTAAGCTGAACTTTGTTAAGCCTATTTTGTCAATATCAATATCATAAGTACAGCTGAAGATGAGCTTCAGTTAAATATCCGAGTCTCACAGCTGCCGATCTAAGAACAGCCTTGTCTCAGCAGAACACAGCTTACCTTCTTCCACTTAACCTGTAAGTTTCAACATATTTTAAACTGTAAATCAAAATATAAAAAATAAAATATCTAACTGGTTGTTCAGAATAGTTTTTTTTTAAAAAAAAGTATCTATCAAGTCATAATTTAAATGGATCTTTCAAAGAACCCATTAGCTTGGTTCATACATTTTTAAATGAAAATATGTTAATTTGAAAACTTACTTTTTCAAGTGAGTAGGCTTTGTGACCACAATTATCTAACTTAAGTTTCAGAAACCCCACAAGAACAAAATTAGATGTTCTTACTGCATTTGGTTCTCCAGGACTAAAGATGGCTAGAAAAAAAAACATTTACTACTTGAAGATGTTATTTATAAAAAGAAAGATACAATAATTTCTATACACAGTATAAGCTGATATAAATGTCTTTAACATTAGGCTTAGGAATTGTGATTAAAATCTCATTTGATTTCAGATGCTCATTCACCACATTCCTCCAAATTACTCCTTAGCGAGTTTCAAAACAGACATGAATAAAGCTTCTCAGACTTATCTGTCATATGCCACAAGTTACTGCCAAGAAGATCTTTTGTTCACTATCACAACTTGTCAGCTGAACTGGACTTATGGTTGCAAAAATTCTCTGAAATATTTTTTGTACAGTGATAGAAACTTAATGTTATCGTATAAACTGCCAAAGCTTGTAAAACAATGAAATTCAGCAGCCTGACAATATCAAGTTTGACTGCAAACGTCCTCTTTTGACTTACTTTCCTTGATTCATTACAGAAACAGGAAACATTTATTATAGTGTTTTTACAAGCTCTACAATTATACGAGAAAAACATTTATTTATGTACAAATGTACACAGTCTATAAAAACAATAATCTTCTAACTGTCAAGTATACTTAAAGATTATATTTCTATGTCATATGAAATCTGTTAACCCTATAATTATGAAAGAGGTCCATATGAATCCCATCATCTGATACGATACGATATTGACTTGGTAGTAGTTTAAGTATTAAACCAGTATTGCTCAGGAATTTGGATATTCCTCTTAACCTTGCTCATGGTTGAAGTATTGTATCACTTCAGTAAGAGTGATGTTGTTTAATTAGACTTGGCAGGTATCGAACATAAGAAAAGAAAAACAGAGGAGGTCTACTTGGAGATATTGATGGAGAGGTGATGTGGTTGCTACTGAAGCATTAGTCTGACCCACATGAACAGCAAGAATGGGAGAGTGACTCAACATGCATGGTTGCACCTGGGGCTGGGCACTCCACCTCAGAGTTGGACCAAGATTGTGTTTTTTATTTGACTATTATTAGTTACAGCATATCAATATAAAAAATAACATATATTTTACAAAACAGAAAAAATTTAGATAATGATTTGTACAATGTAAGAACGAACATTGAAGTTTAATTGAAGATATCTAGGAAAGTGACAGTAGTTATGAGATTGCTTGAATTTTAATTATAAGGTTTAACACAACATATATTGAAGTATTGTCTGTGGAGTAGGATGAAAGTCTTGAAAGAACTGGAGTAGCTGAGGGATTTGATGTTTCATGTTGATGTGGGGAGGTTTCACATGATGAAAGTACACACAAAACACTGAAAGATGTGATGTTGTAGAGTTGAGCTAGGAGGTTGAGCAGAAAGAGAACATTTTCATGAATTGTTCCGGTGGTCAGGTAAGTCCGTTGTTCATGCTGAGTCAAGGATCAGGTTGGCTTGTCTGTGTGCTTGTGAGCATTTTGAATGTGTGATAAGGGGAGGTATATTTTCTCCACGATTTCAGGGTTTCTGATAGTTTCGTGAATTTTGTTCAGAAATTGTTTGATTGTTCAGCTTTTGTATAATATGATATGGCTAGGTCAGTGAATCTTTGCTTGTTCATTTGTAATTTGCTAATTCTGTTTAGGTATGATACTGGGGTGTAAATAGGTAGGCGATCCTTTTAGTTGAAGGAATTCGAGTTTTGGGAAGAGGTGTTGTGGCATGTTTAAGTTGATTGTGTTGCTGTATTCAGTTACTATATACAGCTACTATACATTTTATAGATTAAGATGAGTGATTTGGCATCACACCCTTTTGCATAGCCTCCTATGTTTTTGAGGTAGTTAGTTCTTTGGCTGGCTTTCTTGTATGTTATTATGTAAATATGTGTTCCATGTTACTTTGTTGTTGAATGTTATGCCCAGGAAAGTGATGGTATTAGTGAACTTGATTTGGGATTCATATAGTTTAACATTGTTTATTTTTGTCTTGTTCCTTCTGAGAACTCTCTTAAAAATGATTGCTTATGTTTTGAGGGGATTGAGTAGTACATGCCAAGTGTTGCACAACATGGTCATGTGATTTAGAAGATTTTGTACTTTTTCAGCAGTGGCTTGGGGTCTTGGGACTTGCTCCAAGTGGCAACATCATCCGCATATTGAATAGTGAGTGTGTTTGTGAGAGAAAGAAAGTTTATGTCATTCACACAAATAATGTATAGCAACGGGCTTAAAATCAAACCTTGTGGAACTCATACTTGTAGACTGAATAATGTGGATGTATTGTTGTTAATTATAATTTTGGCTGTTATTTGGGTGAGGAAGCTGGAAATCCTCCTCATCAAGGGTTCTGGGATGTTAAATTTAGCTAATTTGTAGCATAGCCCATTGTGCCTGATGCTATCAAAGGCTTTTCTGACATTGAGGAAAAACAAAAAAAACGAAAAATCAGTAATACGAACATATTAAAAAATGTATAATTTAAATGAAGACTGCATGTTGTTCAGAGTTGGAGAGTGCTGTTTGATATGGAAGGTTTCTTGATCAAAGTAACCCTCCACATCAAACAGCACTCTCCAACTCTGAGGAAAAACAATTTTTTAAAATAAAACAAAAATTAATTACCTGGTGAAGTAAGTGGCTTAGTCTCTGTTTTTCTGCCTTTAGGAGTCAACCTCATTTTGCTATGCTCCTGAATGGGACAAAAAAACATTTTAAAATTAATACTACACTAAATAACAACTTAGTATTTTCTTGTTACCTTCAGTTTTATCCAACATTAGTCAAAACCTAGGTATTTACATTATTGTCTTACTGCATGGACAGTTTATCAGTACATATTCTCGATGAAAACAATATTTCAGCAAACTTGACAAAGCAAAGCTACACCGTAAATAAACTTCTGCCACGAGAACACAACAAATGTTCTCAAACAAAACATTTTCAAGGTGATTAACCAATAACATTAATTAAAAATTAAACTTTAAATGAGAAGTATTATTAATCCTTCAAATATATTACAAGTTATTTCAATCTGAGCAAAAAAAGGGATGGCTGTCAGTGCACACATATATGCACAAAGGCTAAAGTACAATTTTAAAATTGTGAACTGTCGATGAAATAAGATAAATTTACCTTTTTAATATGGTATTTCCTATCATGGGAAAGCACTTGTTTTTGGGTTTGCTGAAAAAAAAAAAGAATAGGATTTGGAATATGTACAAACAAAACACACTATCAAAGTGCCCAGTAAATGAAAACATATATACTTAAAAGAGAGAAATAATTTTTATTCATACTTTTTCCTGTAAAGTATTCACTTTATTACAAAATCTCCAATATCTTTAAATTACTTAAGCACATATATTTGTGTGTGTGTGTTTGATTTTTTTTTCTCAGACTGATCAGGTACTACCCATTTAATTTTTAACAATCACTTGTAAAAATGGAGACACGAAATACACAGTAACTTCTCATATACTAACCTTTCCGTGTCAAGCTTTTTTTGGGGGGGGGGGGAAGTCAGTTTTTTTTTATTTTGCTTTTTCATAGCTTATACTTATATATTAATGAAAGAAAAGTCCTTTTATGATCTGTTATTATAATTTTCCACAAAATATACTCAATAAATGTTACATATATTGTTCCAATGAAACTATAGTAAAGAATAGGAATGCTTTTCTCCAGTTTATGATACATAATTCTGATGAAACCCATTGGAGGTAAGCATAAAGAGCATTTCCAATGCCATCTAGTGAGCAATGATTGTAATACATGATAACATGCAAATAAATTTGGGTGAATAATTAAAAATACATCAAGAAATGGTTTACCCAAAATAATTCAGGCAAATATTTTTTTAAACATGGATGGTGCCTGATTAATCTCAGGCAAATTATGGAAAGGATTAACAGTTTTTAAAATATGGCTAATTTTAAAGATTACTGAGTGTCCCCTACTGTCTCCTGGCCAAACAGGCTGCCTAGCTTGCTTTTACATATCATAAGAATCCAAAACTTTGTCGATCTCTTGATTTTTTTAATTACATTTCTTTAATTATCTAATTATCAAAGATTTAGATAGTAAAGGAAAAAAAAATGATATATTATTCATCAGTGTTTCCATGTACTCTCCAAACATATTTTCTGTAAAAATTACTTTGCTTCACTAAAACTTTTGTGTTACATTACCTTACAATGTAATGCCACTGTATGGAGATAAATATTCCCAATTGTTCCTGTAAATTTCATTTGTACACCTTCTTTTAACTGCATTTAGTTAAAATTTTATTTAAAACATCACTACTTTTTTTTATAGCACTAAATATATTCCTAAATTTTCTTTTTCCATCTAACTTTCTAGACTTCACACAGTATTCTTCCCTAAATTACTATTGTCAACATACTGAAATTTTGTGTTTCCCTGTTGAGATATTGATTTGAAAAAGTTTCATTAAATTATAATACCAGAGCATAAACTTCAAAGTTAACGATAAAGTCATCACTCAGGTTCTGTATAGTGAAGTGGTTTGCAAAACTGAATGTTCCAGCTGTGATTCCATCTTCTGTAGACAGCATTTGTGTAGAAATTACATCAGCATTGTGGCGAATAAGACACAGAAAATAATGTACAGCATTGTCTATTAAGAAGGAAAAACAACTGGTTACAATCATGGAGTCTGTGCACCATATTCTCACAATAACTTCCTTTTGGTTATGATTTCACATCTGTTGTATCATTATATAACATTTCTGGTTAATTATTGCATTACTTTCCTTCATAGTTATCCACTCCTCTCAGAATGTTTTATTTACAAATATTGGTGTCAAGTTCATTTTACATAAAGTAAACATTAAAAAAAATTTTTTTTGATACAAGTATCATTATTTGGCAGTTTGTAATCAAACAAGAACCAGATCAACTAGTTCCACAGGCACCGGAATAGAACAAGCTAAATAATGATGATGATTAGTTCTCATACACGTTCAGTTCCACACATTTTAAAGCAAATGGAAGTCCTGATAATTTTCCTCAATATCATATCACATTAGTATTTCAATAAGTTATTTCATCAATCTTACTTATTCTCTAGCATTGCAGATAAAGAATATATATCACAAATAGGTGAAAGTAAAGGGGTGTTGCAAAATAAATCACACTCTTTTCCCCAAAGTAATGACAAACTTGGTAGGACTGCAAATATCATCCCTTGTGGGAAAACATCATTTTAATGTACTCTTGGGTGTTTGACTCTTCAAATTTAATTTGTTGCGAAAACATTTGAATCATGGTGCTCACTAGATCTCTGGTTCGTGTCGCATGTGCTGCTTCGGGATGGCTCAGTAACTTGTTGCAGACATGCTCCGAGAATTCTAGTTTTCCAATCGACACATCACAATGCCAGATTTGAAAAATTTGATTAATGCCTCAAAATTTTCAGAATTGTTGAATTTGAAAGAGTGGTCCATGAAAAAGTGGTGGAATGTGGATTGGGAATTTTCCAGATTTAAATCCCGCTGAAAATGTCAGAGCTATCGTTGAAAAATGCACAGAAAAAAATGTTTGAAACTTTGCCTGAATGCAAGAGACACAAACATGAAACCTTGATTCGTATTCTCACTGTTGTGGCTCACAGAGACAGCCACAAAAACAGACATGTTTGTTTCATTGCTGAAATCATTTGCGTGAGAACAATGGTGGCCCAATCAAGCGATATTGATACTTGGAATTATTTTTTAATTGAATTAAAATCTTATTTTATTTTGTTATGTTCTTGGGGAATAAACTGTGGTTTATTTTGCAACACCCCTTAATTAGGAAAAAATGATATAATCTTTCATTGACAAATAATATATTTTCCTATGTTAACTCATATTTCCAAATCTTTCACATTGCACTGGTTCTGATTAGAAAGAATGCACGAAGAGCAATGAAACAAAAAACACATACCAAGAGACTAATAACCCTGTAACTCACCCTTCTTCCCTTCTACTCGAGTAGCAACAAATTCCTGTTTTAATGGAAGCCTAACATCACTAATTATTAAAGTACCTCTCCCGTGTGATTCTGACTTTCTACCTAGAGCTCCTTCAGTCTTCAACTTCTGGATTTCGTTGGCAAATGCCTGTTTTTTATGAGCTATAAAATAAAACAAATTAACATGTTTTTGTACTGTATATTTTTTATATTAAACAGAGCTTGCATTGAATAAAACTTAAAAGTTAGTAAAGACATAGAAAATGTTTATTAATCTATTTTACTTAGAGCATATTATAGTTCCTATACTATGAAACAGGTAAAATATGAGTAACTTATTATAAGTGTTCAACAAGAACAAATATTTAAACTATGTTTTACAAGATATAAATAGCATAAAGATTTACATTAAGTTATTTAATTCCAAAATTTTTTTGCCTAACATACAATGTTAACACCTTAAACAAAAATTAAAATAACTACACAATTATTTTTAGAACTTGCATTTAAACTTGCCTCATAAAAAGTGATTATTATAAATTACTAGTATTTTTGAAAATAGCCCCTTTAAATTTTTTTTCTCTTGAATATTCATATAACAGATTACAAAAAAACATACATGCTATAAGCAGGAGTCGTTCTCCTTCAACTTGTTCAGTCGATCCATGAAATTCAGCGTTGCTGTGGCAAAGGTTTAGGGCTTGACTGGCTTGATTCACTATCATTTGTTGGGCACAAATTTCTTCTTGTAAAACCTTAAATGTAAACTGAAACCATTAGCGTTCATTTAAACAAAAGAATAGACATGATTATTATTTTACTCGCATATTATCACAAAGCTAGCAATGATTATTTGTCAAAACTTGAACTTTAGGACAAAGAAAATAATAAAAACATTGATTTCAAAATTAATTAAGATATATCAAAGCAAAAGCAAACAGATGAGGCATTTGAAAAGTACTCACACAAATCAACAATACCAGAGTTGTCAGATTGCCTTTTTTTTTTATACTTAATTTTTTTTTTTTTTTAGCAAATTAAATTATAAGTTTGCCTCATAAGTTCTAGAAACTTAATCCATTCTTAACTGTGTTTGAGGTGCAAGACTTTCTGAAGGGGTGGTAGAGATACATGTAAAGTTTGATACAAGTTAGGTTTTTTCTGGTATACTGCACTTTAACAGGTTTTTTCTGAATTTGGGCAGTAAATCAAACTCCTTTTTGTCTTTGACTGGTTGGATATTTCAAAGAAAAACTCTCCTCAATCACAGCAGCCAGTTAAAGTAACAACAAAATTATAGACCACATAGTAAGTGAAATACTTGACATATTTTTGCTGTGAATAAAGACTTCACTTTTGTTCACTTGTGTTTATTTCTTTCCTTTACTATCCTGTAACACAATTTCTGAACCTGAATTTTGCAAATACTTTTAAACTTATCTGTTGAACATCAGCTTATCTGAATACTAAACATGCACAAGCTCACTATTTTCTAACAGCACTGTAGACTTCTTGATCAAAGAACATTAAAGCAACAGAAATAGCTTTACAGCTTTGATATTATAGTTAATTAAGGTCTCAGAAATCCTAAATTTTGGATAGATTAAGATATCCTACATGTGAAAGTTAATAGTATTCAAAAGCAACTTAACAACAACATAAATCTTAAGTGCTATTATTAAAACATTTTGTCAATTATTATATTTTTCTAAAGCAATCAACATGAGATATTAACTGGATATTACTGAAAAATATTCAAATTAATGGCAAGATAATAATTCTTTAATACCTATAAACTTATATTTTCATTTAAAAAATGATTGTTTTAAACACCTTTACCTTAATTTTTTCTTTGACAATTAATGAGGCATCAACCTTCTCTGGAGAGGGAGGGCTGGATACTTGCTCTTTCTTGACGACAGTATGAATTGGAGTTGTCCACTGTTCTTGCTTTGTCTGTTTCCGGTAGAAGCTAATCGTATGAAGCAAAGGAACTTCACTGCCATTATCATATACTGATTTAGATACGGGTGCCTCAAGTTTGTGTTGTGAGGTTTGTGTCTTGTAAGAAGATAAATCCATCATTTTATTGTCTAACACCTAAAGAACAAATAACAACAGTAACTTGGGTGCTTACGGTAAGGCTGGTGATCAGATACTAATCACTACTAAAATGATTAACAATCTATATGATCACTGAAGTCTAACTATTAATTAGTTATATTTTTAATCCCCAACTACCAATTAATTTTTACCCTATATTATGGCTGTTAATCTACTGCTGTCTACAAGGGTAAGAGTCTATACAAATGAATAGCAAACCTGGCTTTCTAATAGGAAAACCAAGGTCTGTCACAATACACCACTCTTGCAGCTCTCCTGTAGGCTAAAAATTAATCTCATAATGAGCAACTAAAAAATGAGTACATAATTTAATTATTGTACAGGTTAATAACCATGACAAGAAACAACAACTTAAAGCTATAATCTGTTAATAAAACCTTATGTTTACTAGTGATGAGTTCAGTTACTGTTTATGGCACAATTTATTTCTTTGTTTTATCATTAATTATCAGGTTTTAGGTATGGGTGGATTCTTTACACTAGGTGTCTGTGACTTGTTGGCAATAAATTTCAGCAATAAAGAAACAGCACACAGTCCATTTGTTTTAAAATAATATATCAAAACAAGTCAAATGTTTGTTACAATGTTGGTTATCACAGTTGTATCCAGAGCTTTAAACAATTGTCTACTTTTTTTGTTGTCAAATTTCACACAGGCTGGTTTAGTTACACAATCTTTAAAAACTATACATTATATATTTCAGTAAAACTAAGCAGTATTACTCTAAAGTTATAACAATAAAACAATTGTCGTTCCAAATTCTTTATGTAAATTTATTTGATGAGTAATATCTTTTTATTTCCCTTTCTAAAACAACAGAGTTTGCTGGAAATAAACTATTAATAATTTCAGTAAATGTATTCTGATGTGATACTTGAATCATACTCAAATGATATTTTCTCATGACTGAAGATTAGAAAAAAACTTAAAAAGTAAATTAGGTTAGAAAAAAAAATGGTGTACAATTAAAAAATAATATTGGGCTTACTTCAAGAGATCTGGCAGATGTACTTGTATCAAAAGTTCCGAATTCATTTTCTTCTTCCTCATCTTGATCCAAAGCTTCATCTAACATCTCATCAATTTCAGCACACACAGCAGCAGCTTCTATCATAAAATTTGCTTCATCATCATCATCTTGATTCATCTTTTCACATACACTATTTTCTGGTTCATGAAACCTCTTTGAGCTAGTGTCAAGACCAGGATCATTTTCAGACTCTATTCCTCTGTCAATGTTTTCACTATTCTTACCCTGTAGTACGAGTTTCTAGTAGCTATTACTGAGTTTCAACATATTAAGTGACAACAAATTTTTTTAAATCCATGTGAAATATTTTACATGACAACTATCATTTTTGAAAATTCCAAAAAATATTCCTCAGGATTACATTCTATTCACATATAATGTTGATTTTATAAACTACAAAAAAATACAATAATTTATTTCCAAGAAACTTAGGACTGAATAATTATGGCTAAGTTTTGAAACTGGAATGCAAACTTGGTTTGATCTTTAAAAGATTGAATTACATTCCAGTGCAACCTGTTTGAGTGTAGGGATTTAATAACAATCAATATATACACCCGGAAAAAAGTTAAGACACCCCCAAATATTTTTCAGGATTGCTTATTGAAAATAAGGTTTAATTTTCATGATGTTGAGCAATGTTCATAATTTCAAACATAATTAAAAGGATGTGAGCGTTCAGGTGTGGCATTTAAATCAGGAGCGTTTTTTTCACCACGTGCAACTTGCTCCCTTCTTCACGTCCAATATGCACTATTTTCTCGTGCATCAAATCCGTATTTAAGTTCCGAATTTCTGAATGCAAAATCATTTTAAGTAAGAATGGCAAGAAGACGGATATCAGAGGCGCAGAGATGGTAAATTATTGGCATGAATTCCGCTGGTATGTCCTACAAGGCGAT